CAACGTGTAAAAAATCTGTTTACGACTAGCAAAGTTCAATCAATAAGGTCCTTGCCACATGTATGCTATGGTGTATACTTTAGTTTATACTTTGCCACGTGACATTATCCTGTTGGACAGCTTAAATTTCAAACGATTTCCCCATCCAATTGACCCTTGACAACAATGCAAGTATGAAGCAACGTGTTAAAATTCAGTGTACAAATAGCAAAATTCAATCGATAAGAACCTCTCTACATGTACACTATGATGTACACTTTAGTTTACAATTTGCCATGTGACATTACCCTGTTGGACAGTTTCAAATGGTTTTTCCATCCAATTGACACTTGACAACAATGCAAGTGTCAAACAACATATCAAAAATCAATGTACAAATAGCAAAGTTCAATCGGTAAGGATCTTACTACATGTACTCTATAGTGTGGACTTTAGTTTGCACTTCGCCACGTGATATTTTCCAGTTGGACAGTTCAAATTTCGAACAGTTTTCCCATCCAATTGACACTTGACAATAATGCAGGTGTTAAACAACATGTAAAAAATCAGTTTACAAATAGCAAAGTTCAATCGATAAGAACCATGCTACATGAACACTATGGTCTACACTTTAGTTTACACTTTACCACGTGACATTACCCTATTGGATTGTTTAAATTTCAAACAGTTCTTCCATCCAATTGACACTTGACAGCAATGCAACTATCAAATAATGTGTCAAAAATTAGTGCTCAAATAGCAAAGTTCAGTTAGAAAGAACCCTGCTACATGTACACTATGGTGTACACTTTAGTTTACACTTTGTCACGTGACATTATCCTGACGGATGGTTTAAATTTCAAACAATTTTTTTCGTCCAATTGACACTTGGTAACATTGCAAGTGTCAAAAATCAGTATACAAATAACAAAGTTCAATCGGTATGAACCTTGCTACATATACATTATGGTGTACACTTTAGTTTACACTTTTCCACGTGACATTACCATGTTGGAAAGTTTAAATTTCAAATAGTTTTTCCGCCCTATTGACACTTGACAACGATGCCAGTGTTAAACAACGTGTCTAAAATCAATGTACAAATAGCAAAGTTCAACCGATAAAAACCTTGCGACATGTACACTGGAGTATGTTCGCGAAATTATTTCTTTCGATTTTAAACTATCGCAAGTGTACGGTTCTTTAACAAATAATAAAGTGGATTAAATGAGTCCGAATATCGTCCCACAGACATTGATTAGTTCAATTTTACCTATCGTCGCCTTAACCGAAACAATAGAAATTCTTGATATTTTCGTTAACTAAATTATGATTTAATAACCGACTTATAAATATAAAGCCTAAATTAACTAGATTAAATGCGTGATTATAACTAAATGCAAGTTTCATAAAAATGTGATAAACGAAATGCGTACTAGGACCCCAAATCCCCTTGTATCAATCCCCTTTAATTCGAATTTTATAAAATTGACAAACGATTCAATTATGAAGACCAATATTCTTAATTTGTTTAACAATCTCTCTCAAGTAAAATTAAACCTATTTTTACATGCGACCCGACTATATTTCTATGACGGATGTGAACATATAAAAATGCATTAAAGATTTATGAATACTTAAAGATCACGTAAAGCATAGCGGTATATTTCTATCCCCTATCGAACTTTACGATAATTAACATAATATCTAACTTATTTTCCGTCTCTCGAGGGTAAAACAAGCCATAAAGCTCATACAACTATTGCGCACATAATTGTAGAGAAAATAAAATCCATGCCAATCATTCAATAATTAAAAACATGTTTTAACGTCAAATTCATAAAATTCAAGATTAAGGGTTCATAATATAAGGTTCACGCAAATCCTAGCACATGAAAATCTAGCCTAACATAATGGAAAATAAAGAGAAAAAATAATCAAAACCAAGGAAGAACATCACCCAATTGATTCTTGAAGTGAAATCTTGAATCTTGAAGTGGATTGCCTTGTTTTTGCCTTGTTCTTCCTCTCCAAATCCTCCAAAATTGTGTATATTCCCCCTCTTTTTCTGTAAAAGTGGCGTCCCATCATTCTGGTCGAGTTTATTTTATATAGAACCCTAAAAATCTCCTTTCCATAAGAGTTTCGACGAAATAAGGAAACTGCTGAATCGTCCCCGAATCTTGTTCTATGCGACCACATAGGACATTTCTATGCTGTCGCATTGAATAAAAGAATTTGAGAAAAAATTCTCGGGAGGCTTCTATGCGACCGCATAGAATTTATACTATGCGATCGCATAGTTATACCATTCTTTCCATTGGACAGCTTTTAGAATCTTGGTCGTAACTTTCTCTCCTGATCTCCGATTGAAGTGATTTAAAGTGGATTGGGAAGAAAACTCAAAGATCTACATTTTTGATACAAATAGACTTCCTCAAATTCTGATGTTTACTATGTCAAAAATGGATCTCAAGTAGAGACTAAAAATCACAAGCATCGCTTTTTCGCTAATACTTCGATCATATTTCACCTTTTGACTCCTTTCCTCATCCGATTGACCTCTAACACTCTTGAATCTTCATTCCATTTCCCATCTTATCTATGGATTATTTGGAACTTGGTCCCCGAACTATCACTTTGCTCCATTTTAGTCTTTTTTCGGCTCTTTTCTTCTGAATTTCACCATGTTCATCGGTGTTCCCTACAATTCACAAATATAACGAGATTAAGTCACAATTCAATCATTTTGTTCATTATTAAGTCATGTTTGTTACCTAAATAAGTGTGCAAAAACACACTTATCAAACCCCCCAAACTTGAACTATTGTTTGTCCTTAAACAAGATAGTGACTTAATTCTGAACAAACCTGACTTAATACCCTGCCGTGGCTCAGGATTGGACTAAGTATTTGACTTTATGAAAACTTATCAGTGCAAAAATGGCATCAACCTTTACTTGTTAAATGCAAATCGACGTGTGTGTGTGTGAATTCATACCAACATATCAGGTTCATCCTGAATTTGAGTCCCGAACCCAAGTGGTCAAATGTATCCTTACTCACTTGAGAGATACTCAACCCATCAAACTTATTCTTTTCACTCAACTATCCTAGGATTGTGTTTTAAAATTAGGAATTTACATAGTCGTAGTCCTTACCCTCTCGTAGTTTGGATTGATCTCACTATCACAAGTTTACATGTCAACAAGTGAAGGCTCTCCTAAGTTTGATTGCTTTGACACTCAAGATTAAACTAGGTTACTTGCCTCGCCTTAAAGGTATAGTTTCTTCAACCAAATGTCCAAGGGCTTTTCTTTATGTTATTTCCTCTCTTTTGTTTTTTTCACTTTTCTTTAATTTTTCTAATTTTCTTTTTTTTTAATATCATTATCATCTTCTCATTTGCTTTCTATATAACTCCTTTAGCGAGCTTTAGGCCGATCACTCCCAAACCAGTTGGTTTTAGGGCACCAGGTTTTAAACCTTTGCAGGCTTATCCACTTGAGTTATAAAGGCTCGATCAGATGACTTTTTATTAACCTCTTTCCCTCTTGCTTTCTATATAACCCCTTTAGCGAGTTTTAGGCTGGTGACTTCCAGGCTAGTTGACCTTAGGGCATCAGATTTTGAAATATCCTTACAGGCTTACTTGCTCGGGTCATAAAGGTATGAAAAGAAGTGTCTTATTCTCACAAATTAATTTTATGCCCTTATTGTTCTAGCATTTAGTTTCCAAAACCAACCCCTAATTTAAGATTTTCACCTAATCTTTACCTCACTGGAGCCCCCGCTTATCTCAATGTTTCCTATAATAGCTCAACCAATTCCAAACTGTCTTAAGGTCGTTTACGTGTTAATTCAATAGAGGGTTATCATTATTTTCCTACTTTATGCTCAAAATCCAGTCATTCACCTAACATGTCAAGCATGAATAGCGTGCATAGATAATGTCAAGTATTGCATCACAAGTATTGGTTAATCTATTCAGCACTCTATCGAAAGTTTATGAATTATACTAGTCCAATAGTCACATCATAGCCGACAAGGCTATCAAGCCCACACAAGCATGCAAAAATGGAAATATAGTAGACTGAATAAAATGCAAAGATTTTTTTTTAACCCTCATCAAGCACATAATATGCAGTCATGAAACATACATATTGATGAATATAGGCAAAATGATTAAAAGATGTTCGTGTCCAAGATTATGTCACCCACCCTCAAACTTAGATAATACATTATCCTCAATGTGAAGATGAAATAAAAGTGTAAACGGACATAACTGAAGGACAATAATAAACTAAAAGCGCAAGATGGGGTACGAGTACTTCCCTGATTTATATGGAGGTGGTGAATGAAAATTAGGACTCGCAGTGTTTCTCCTTTCCCTATGACATTCTTTTTAGTGACATCCTGTAAAAGTGCAAAGTATGCATATTAGTTCACATGGTGTAAACAGATGCAACTGAGGCAAGAAATAACCTACGTAGTGTACAAATCACACAAATTTGCTTCAAGGTGCATGTGTACATTGTTGGTGTGCAGAATGCATAATTTATGTCTCAACATAAGGTTTACATCACAAAAATGTGAATCACCAAAGAAACTTTATTCAAAACGTGCACTTTGTTCAATTGGACACATGATTGACTAAAATAGGACTTCAACCTCATGACTCGTGCTCAGTGCATTGGGACTCGTGTAGACCATGCCTAGACTCCATGTGATAGGGATGCATGATTGATGACCTAAAACTATTGATAATGCTAAAAAAATGGAAAGTTCCTAAACTATTGCTAAACGAAGTAAATGAAAGGATAGAACGTTGGGTTGCCTCCCAACCAGCGTTATTTTATAGTCGATAGCCCGACTTTTGGCCTAGGTGCGTTATGGCACTTTAAATATGGCTTGGGAGGTCCTGTATAGTTTGTTCAATAAGGTCTTGTTCCGCATTGAAGTTATCTTCCACACTTTAAACCTGTCCTTTTTTACGTGGTGTGACTCTCCCTCATCATCCGTTTAAGACTCCACGGTGTATACCTCGATCTCCTTTGAGTTAGTGAGAATGGATTGAGGGTGCATCATATCAGCCTCCTGTATGTCTGGCAGTTTCTTCAACTCATAATTGTAGGGGATTCCTATGTCAATCACATCAATCTGGAAACAGTTGTCTGGCTCGATGAGATATTTCATTACTTTGAAAACATTAAAAGTGGCCTGCTCCTCACCCAGTCTCAGAGTCAATTATCCTTGTTGCACATCTATGAGAGCTCTTGCAGTAGCCAAAAATGGTCACCCCAATATGATAGGCACGTCCTTGTCTTCTTCCATGTCCAGAATTAAGAAGTCCGCTGGGAATATAAGTTTATCCACTTTGACTAATACATCTTCGATAATCCCTCGTGGATGTGCAAGTGATCGATTAGCTAGCTGTAGAATTATTGTAGTTACTTTAGGCTCTCCCAATCCTAGTATCCTGAAAATAGAGAATGGCATCAAGTTAACACTCGCACCAAGATCACATAAGGCTTTATTAAAATAAAAATCACCAATTGTGCAAGGGACAGTGAAACTCCCTGGATCTTTCAATTTTGGTGGAAGCTTTTTCTAAATTCTTATGCTGCACTCTTCGGTTAGCATTACTATTTCATGATCCTCCAGCTTGCGTCTATTTGATAATATGTCCTTCAGAAACTTTGCATAGCTGGGCATCTGGAATAGATCATCAGCCAACGGGATGTTGATGTGGAGCTTCTTGAAGACTTTCAAAAATTTCTTGTATTGTTGCTCCATTTTGTGGTTTTTCAACCTCTGTGGAAATGGAATTGGAGGTTCATATGGGTTGACTATAACTGTTTCTTTATTCCCTGCTTTTTCTGAGCTTTCCTTTGCAGTAGATGTGTTTGGTTGTTCATCCTGCTCCACAGTTTCTTCTTCTACAGAAGGTGTATTCTCTTTGTTCTTGACTGGCCTTTTGACATGCATATCAGGTAGTTGCACTCCACTTCGAGTTGTGATGGCCTTGGCATGCTCTTTTGGGTTGATTTCCGAGTTACTTGGTAAATTTCCCTGTGCTCTTCCAGTCAAAGCTATGGCCATCTGTCCCATTTGAGTTTCCAAGTTTTTGATGACAGCATTCTGGTTTTGCAGAGTGATTTCGGTTTTCTCCATGTACTGATTGGTCCTCTCCATAAATTTCCCGAACATATCTTCCAATTGAGGTTTTTTCTCTTGCTGTTGAAACTGACCCTGAGGCCTATTCTGATTCTGGTTGCTCCAAGGGAAATTGAGATACTTCTTCCAACTGTTATTGTATGTTTCCCCATATTGATTATTCTATTGGCGTTGCCCCCATTGTGCAAAATCTATCTGCTTAACTCCTTGCATTAAAATTGGACATTTTGATGTTTTATGCTTAGCTCCACATTCTTCACAGCTAAACTTCTTATTTTTGTGCTGTTTGTGATATGCTTTCTACCTTGTGAAATAATGAGTCCATTTTAGCAGATATTGCTGAATAAGTATCGACCTCATAAACACCCGAAGGTTTCTTCTGAGTTACCCGCTCAGATGCCCACATCGCTGAAGTAGTTACGATTCTTTCAAATAATTCTAGTGCTCCATCGATTGTTCGTGTAGAAATTTAGTCATTTGATGATGAGTCCACCATGCTTTTGAAGTACGGGAGTAAACCTACATAAAAGAATCAGATTTGGGTCTTTTTGTCAAACCCATGTTGAGGGCACTTCCGGAGCATATTCTTGAATCTGTTCCAGGCTTCGTTAAATGATTCGGATTCTCCCTGGCTGAAAACGGATATTTCATGTCTCATTTTAGCTATCTTGGCTGGTGAGAAGTACTTCGTGCAGAATTTGTGAGCTAGGTTGTTCCAAGTAGTGATGCTTGCAATAGGAAGCAAATCCAACCATTCAAGTGCCTTATCCCGCAAGGTGTGTGGAAAAAGCCTTAGCCTAATAGCATCGTCCGAGATTCCTTGATATCTGAAGTGTTGACACATATCCAAGAATCGAGATATGTGTGTATGTGGATTTTCTTCGGCTCTGCCATAAAATTGATGTCCATTTTGGAACAGCTATATCACATTCGTCTTCAATTGAAAATTGGCTTGCCCAAACGGTGGATACACAATGCTGGACTGGCTTTGAATCACTTGAGGAGTCAAAAAGTTGCCCAAAATCTTATTTCCTTCGTTCACTGTCTCTCCTTCATTGGCTGGGATAATAGGATTGTTTAGTTCGTTAGCCATTTACAATTTTACTTCTCGGTTCTCTCTTTGTAGTCGATGAAAAGTGTGTTCAATTTCAAGATCGGCCGGAATCAATTCTCCTCCAGTGGATCTTAGCATGCAAATTTAAGAGAAAAATAAGGGTAGCACTTAGATATTAAAAAAATAGATCGAATAATAAAAACAAAACAAAGACAAAAAAAAAAAGAAAAAAAACTAAAAGAGAAACTAAAATTAAATTTCAAATTAGTGCCTAGAAAAATAAAATTAAACTGAACTCAATCCCCTGTAACAGCGCCAAAAACTTGTTCGCAAAATTATTTCTTTCGATTTTAAACTATCGCAAGTGTACGGTTCATTAACAAGTAATAAAGTGGATTAAATGAGTTCGAATATCATCCCACAAAGATTGATTAGTTCAATTTTACCTATCGTCGCCTTAACCAAAACAATAGAAATTCTTGATATTTTCGTTAACTAAATTATGATTTAATAACCTACTTATAAATATAAAGCCTAAATTAACTACATTAAATGCGTGATTATAAGTAAATGCAAGTTTTATAAAAATGTGATAACGAAATGCGTACTAGGATCCTGAATCCCCTTATATCAATCCCCTTTAATTCGAATTTTATAAAATTGACAACACGATTCAATTATGAAGACCAATATTCCTAATTTGTTTAACAATCTCTCTCGAGTAGAATTAAACCTATTTTTACATGCGATCCGACTATATTTCTATGACGGATACGAACATATAAAAATGCATTAAAGATTTATGAATACTTAAAGATCACGTAAAGCATAGTGGTATATTTCTATCCCCTATCGAACTTTACGATAATTAACATAATGTCTAACGTATTTTCCATCTCTCGAGGGTAAAACAAGCCACAAAGCTCATACAACTATTGCGCACATAATTGTAGAGAAAATAAAATCCATGCCAATCATTCAATAATTAAAAACATGTTTTAACGTCAAATTCATAAAATTCAAGATTAGGGGTTCATAATATAAGGTTCATCGCAAATCCTAGCACATGAAAATCTAGCCTAACATAATGGGAAATAAAAAGAAAAAATAATCAAAACCAAGGAAGAACATCACCCAATTGATTCTTGTAGTGAAATCTTGAATCTTGAAGTGGATTGCCTTGTTTTTGCCTCGTTCTTCCTCTCCAAATCCTCCAAAATTGTGTATACTCCCCCTCTTTTGCTGTAAAAGTGGCGTTCCATCATTCTGGTCGAGTTTTAGTTTATATAGAACCCTAAAAATCTCATTTCCATAAGAGTTTCGGCGAAATAAGGAAACTGCTGAATCGTCCCCGAATCTTGTTCTATGCGACCGCATAGTACATTTCTATGTTGTCGCATAGAGTAAAAAAAAATTGAGAAAAAATTCTCGGGAGGCTTCTATGTGCGACCGCATAGAATTTATACCATTCTTTCCACTAGACAGCTCTTAGTATCTTGGTCGTAACTTTCTCTCCTGATCTCCGATTGAAGTGATTCAAAATGAATTGAGAAGAAAACTCAAAGATATACATTTTGATAGAAATAGACTTCCTCAAATTCTGATGTTTACTATGTCACTAATGGATCTCAAGTAGAGACTAAAAATCACAAGCACAACTTTTTCGCCTAAAAGTTGATACTTGACAATACTTCGATCATATTTCACCTCTTGAATCCTTTCCTCATCTGATTGACCTCTAGCACTCTTGAATCTTCATTCCATGTCCCATCTCATCTATGGATTATTTACAACTTGGTCCCCGAACTATCACTTTACTCCATTTAGTCTTCTTTCGGCTCTTTTCTTCTGAATTTCACCATGTTCATCGGTGTTCCCTACAATTCACAAATATAATGAGATTAAGTCACAATTCAATCATTTTTCTCATTATTAAGTCATGTTTTTTACCTAAATAAGTGTGCAAAAACACACTTATCAGTGTACACTTTAGTTTACACTTTGCAACATTTAATTACCCTGTTGGATAGTTTAAATTTCAAATAGTTTTCCCATCCAATTGAGATTTGACAACAATGAAAGTGTCAAACAACGTGCCAAAAATTAGTGTACAAATAGCAAAGTTCAATCGGTAAGCACCTTACTACTTGTACACTATGGTGTACACGCTTTAGTTTACACTTTACCACGTGACATTACCCTGTTGGACAGTATAAATTTCCAACAGTTTTTCCATCTAATTGACAGTTGACAACACTGGGAGTGTCAAACATCGTGTCAAAAATTAGTGTACAAGTAGCGAAGTTCAATCGGTATTTACCTTGCTACATGTAAACTTTAGTTTACACATTGCCATGTGACATTACCCTGTCGAACAGTTTATATTTCAAACAGTTTTCTGATCCAATTGACACTCTACATCAATGCTAGTGTCAAACAACGTGTCAAAAACCAGTGTACAAATAGCGAAGTTCAATCGGTAAGAACCTTGCTACATGTACACTATGGTGTACACTTTACTTTACACTTGGCCACATTTCATTACCCTATTGGACAATTTAAATTACAAACAGTTCTCCCATCCAATTGACACTTGACAACAACGCAAGTGTCAAACAACGTGTCGAAAATTCGTGTAAAAATAGCAAAGTTCAATCGGTAAGAACCTTGCTACATGTACACTATGGTGTACACTTTAGTTTACACTTTGCCATGTGACATTACCCTGTTGGACAGCTGAAATTTCAAATAGTTCTGGCATCCAATTGACACTTGACAACAATGCAAGTGTCGAACAGCGTGTCAAAAAATCAGTGTACAAATAGCAAAGTTCAATCGATAAGAACTTTGCTATAAGTACAATATGGTGTACACTTTAGTTTACTCTTTGCCAGGTGACATTACCCTGTTGGACAGTTTAAATTTCAAACGGTTTTTCCATCCAATTGACACTGACAACAATGCTAGTGTCAAACAACGTGTCCAAAATCAGAGTACAAATAGCAAAGTTCAATTGGTAAGAACCTTGCCACACGTACACTATGGTGTACACTTTAGTTTAAACTTTGCCACGTGTCATTACCCTATTGGACAGTTTAAGTTTCAAACAGTTTTGCCATCCAATTGACACTTGACAACAGTGCAAGTGTCAAACAACATGTCAAAAATCAGTATACAAATAGCAAAGTTTAATAGGTAAAAACCATGCTGCATGTGCCCTATGGTGTACACTTTACTTAACACTTGGTCACGTGTCAATATCCTGTTGGACAGTTTAAATTTCAAGTAGTTTTCCCATCCAATTGACATTTGTCAACAGTGCAAGTGTCAAACAACTTGCCAAAAATTAGTGTACAACTAGCATAGTTCAATCGGCAAGGACCTTGCTACAAGTACACTATCGTGTACACTTTAATTTACACTTTGGCACGTGACATTACCTTGTTGGACAGCTTAAATTTAAAACAGTTTTCTCGGCCAATTGACATTGACAATAGTGTGAGTGTGAAACAACGTGTCAAAAATCAGTGTACAAATAACAAAGTTCAATCGGTAAGATCCTTACTACATGTACACTATGGTGTACACACTTTAGTTTACACTTTACCACGTGACACTACCCCGTTGGACAGTATAAATTTCAAACAGTTTTCCCATCGAATTGATAGTTGACAACAATATAAGTGTCAAATAACGTGTTTAAAATCAGTGTACAAATAGCAAAGTTCAATCGGTAAGAACTTTGTGACATGTACGCTATGATGTACACTTTAGTTTACACTTTGCCACGTGGCATTACCCTATTGGATAGTTTAAATTCCAAGCAGTTTCCCCATTCAATTGACACTTGACAACAATGCAAGTGTCAAACAACGTGTCAAAAATTAGTGTACAAATAGTAAAGTTAAATCGGTAAGAAACTTGCTACATGTGCACTTTAGTTTACAATTTGCCACGTGACATTACCCTATAGGACAATTTCAAACATTTTTTCCATCCAAATGACACTTGACAACAATACAAGTGTTAAACAATGTGTCAAAAATCAGTGTTTACAAATAGCAAAGTTCAATTGGTAAGAACATTGCGACATGTACACTATGCTGCACACTTTAGTTTACACTTTACCACGTGTCATTACCCTGTTGGATAGTTTAATTTTCAAATAGTTTTCCCATCCAATTGACTTTTGACAACAATGCAAATGTCAAACAATGTGTCAAAAATTAGCGTATAAATAGAAGAGTTCAATCGGTAAGAACCTTGCAACATGTACACTATGGCGTACACTTTAGATTACATTTTGCCACGTGACACTACCCGCTAGACGGTTTAAATTTCAAAATATTGTC